GATTCCAGATTCCCTGGGCTTTCACTTTGTGTTGGAGCCCAGTTGGCAGCTCCTTCTTTATCCCTCCTGGTCTCCTGGACACACACTCAACTCCTGCCCTGTGGAGCAGACCCTTCCTGTGCTTTGGTTCTTCAGGATTAAACAGTTTGCCTCTTGTCCATTAACACAATCTCCTACGGAAATATACCAAAAATATCCCAAACAAGCCAAAGCCTCCTGTCTGGAAGCTCAAGGCTGGAATTCTCAGCTCTGCTCGCCAGCCAGACACAGACAACAGATTCCAGCCTGCTCTGGAAACTCCACATCCTGCCTGTCACACACGAAGCTGCCACCCCAGCACCCACACGAGGGTGTGTTTTTACCACCAGGGCTGAGGGAAAAAGCTCCATCTCCTCCCTGCCCTGCAGGACCCCATCTCCAGCAGACACACACAGGGCCCTGCTGTCCTCCCATCCACTGATCCCTGTGCCAGCGCTCCTGGCTGGCTCATTGCCCTCTCCAAAGGCATCAAACACTGGAGTCAGCCCTCGAGGGACCCAATTCCCTGCTTCCCTGCCCCTCCTTCCAGAGGAACCTGCACCCATCCCTTGGAGCCATCTCCAGATGTCTCCACGAAGAATCCCAAAGCCTCACAGCTCTACAGCTACACACAGATTTCTAATTCCTCCTCCTTGCTTCCCATGCTGGGAATAATTAATCACATGCAGGATACCCTTGCTTGGACAGAGACCTTTTTTAATGGAAAAACCAAGTTTAAACTCGGTTTAACACACAGTTCCACTACGACAATCCTGACCTGGTTCCTACAGCACCGTATCCAACTCATTCACTCTGAGCTGTCACTCCTGCACAATTCTATTTTAATAATTCAATAAAAAAATAAATAAAATAATTTAATTCAGTTTTAATATAGTGAAAAACCCCAATTTTGTGGTATAAAAGTACAAGAGCCCCACAGAGCACCCCCCTTCAGTTGTGAAGGTGACACAGTGCATCTGAAAGGATGGTTTGAAATTGTTCTCCCATAACACAGCAGATTTGTTTACAGTCCAGGGCCGTGCTTTCCACAGTGCTCAGGCACCGCTCCTATTTCTCCCCGGTGCCTGAGTACTCGTCAATGCCTTTCACACAGGGTGACAGGGAACCATCTGCCTCCCTCCTCCTACTTGTTGCCACCTGTTCTTTTCCCAGTCCCCACATGGCAGCGTGAGCAGGGCCAGATTCCCTGGACAAGGCCGGGTTACAGCACCAAGAAACCCCAAACGCCTCCGTTACCCCGAGGGTCTCGCTCACCACACACAAAAACGCTCTAACAGCGATGACAAGGAGGTATCTGCACCATAACTGGGACACTCAGGGGCTGAGCAATGAGGATTGCCAGTAAAGCAAGCTGGGTTTGTGTAAAAAAAGGGGGGGAGAGATTGAGAAAGGCATTGCCAAGGCAAAATGGAGATTCTGGGAGAGGAGGAGTCCTCCATGGGGCACCTGCAGGACATCAAACCACTCATCTCTTCATCAAGGAGGCAAAGAGAGAAACAGAGACTGAGAAGTCCAAGTGCAGGGCAACAAGGTCTTTGAGGAACTTCCTCCTTTTAGGGAGATCCCAAATTCTTCCTGAAGGGCAGAGCAGGCAGCAGAGCCACTCCAGTGAAACTGTGAAAGGCACTGAGTGTCCAGGGCCAGTATCACACAGCTTCAGATCCCAAAGTGATTAGAAAGCACATCAGAGGCTTTTCAAGTCCCTTGCAGAATTCTACACCTGATGTTCAGTACAGGGGATAAAGAGGATTTAACTCAGACCATTGACCCAAATCTTCCTCCCTCTCCTATCCTTTCAACCTTCCTGTGGCAGAGGCCTCAGGGGAGACAAAGAGTTCCATTGTCCCACCCCAAACCCCTTATGAAGGGTGGCCCAGGGGTTCTGATTGGGTTTGAGTCCCTGGGGGTTTCTCCCTTGTTGTGTTTCTAGTGACCTAGAAAGTTGTGTTTCTTCTGACCCTGAACTCCACCCTCAAGGGTGGAGACCCTCAGGAGTTCTGTCTCTCAAAAACCCCTGCTCAGCCTCTGTTTGGAGCTCTCTGTTCTGGACCTGAGTTTGTTTCCATGCTGAATAAACGGTTTCATGAACAGGAGCCCATCTCGTTGGTGTTTGATGCTGGTCCCCAGAATCCTGCTGCTTCCCTGGATGAGATCCTGGAGTTGCGGACTGCAACACCTTCCCAATTACAAACACTTGTCCTAAAAATCTCTGCTCTCAATACCATGATTCTTCCATATATTCCTGAAAAAACAAGGGCTGTGGATTCTGTGTGGCCAATCCCTTTCCAGGTGCAAACTTTTCTAAATTTACAAACAGAATTACCAAAGTTTAAAAGAAAAGCCACTCAAGAAACTTTCAATCCTGTGTTTTAACATTTTCCAGAAATAACTTTCCTATGTACTAAAAGCTACCCAGAACTCACCCCAAACACAAAAAAGCCCAGTCTGAAACGTTATGTCTGATCAATGATTATATCAAGCTCATCACAGGAGATGAGAGTCACAGATAGGCTTTATACAGGTTTCTGTGTGGCTGTGCAGAAGGTGAATCACCAAATTCCTGCTCTCTCCAAGTCAGAAATCTGTCCAAACACAGAGAACGTCCCTTTGTATCAGATAAATGTTTTCCCTTCGCTGCATTTCAAACTTACACTGCCTTCCAGGGGCACAAAACACAGATGTGGAACTTCACTTGGATGAGGGAATTCACGTGGCCTCCCTGAGAAACTCCCCAGGGCTTCCACTTTCTCATTTGCACTTAGTTCATTCGAGATCAATTTGGTAAGCAAAAGGGTTAATGAGAAATGGTTTGTAAATAGCCAGATGCTTGCCAATTCCAGCAGGAAGGAGAAAACAGAACAGCACGGGAAGGGAAGTGCTAATAACTGGGAAGAACTTTGATGAACATTTAATCAACATTTTTCTCACTGAAGTTATTTTTCAAATTGGAAAAGTTGGCATTTCTCATCAGCAGCTACAAAATAATTAAAAAAAAAAAAGTTTTCTCAATTAATGATTGAAATGTTCAGAATAGATTTTTCTCAAATTAGGGATTTGAATTTTCATATCAAGCCAGCTGCCACTACTGCATGTGATACCTTCTCCCTCTTTCCCAGAGCAGTTTCCTTCTCCACTGCTCATGGATTGAGGGAAGGTGCTCCAAACCCCAGGATCTGTATTTCCTCCACCTGTGGACTGCCAGTTTTCACACATCACACTCATTCCTCACGGCACTCCCCATCACACCCCCTGCACAGCCCCGTTCCAGATGTGTTCCAGGGCTGTCCCACTGCTGGAGAACAGCATCTCCACGGCCCCAGAGCTCCAGGGACGGCCTCAGGTGTGTCTCTACACCCCCAGTGAGACTCCAGCACTGCAGCCCAAATCCTCTGGCAGCATGCAAAAGAGAAGGGACATTGTGAGGCAAGGTCCTTCAGGACGGCAGGACGAGGTGCCGGAGCGGAGCAGGAAGGAGAAACCACTGGACAAACAGCAGCGGAGGGAAAGGAAGAGGAGTGAGACCACAGGAACTCCAAGCACAACAGTGAGAGTCATTTACAAACCACTGCTGGGAGCTGGGTGCAAGCACAGGCCCGGGCAGGGCTCCGAAAGCCGAGGCCATTCATTATTCAGTGTTTTCAAACGTGGAGAAAATGGAATAATGCTTCCACTGGAAGGGGCTGCAAACCACTCAGGTGATTAATGCACAGAGCAGAAATTAAATTACTTCTAATATTTTTTCTGGCAATCTGATGACAGCAGGGCAGTGCTGGATGCAGGCTCCTGACACTGCTCTGAGGCTGGAATCCCTCGGCTCCGTGGCATTAAAGCTCCTGACCCCAGGAGGGAGCAGCCTGCATTCCCCAAATCATTGTGGGGAGTACCTGTGGCTCTTCAGCCAGCAGTGAAGCACACCCAGATCCAAAGAGGAATTCAGAGGAAGCAGTAAGTACACAGCTACTCTACAAAACAACTGGAAGATAAATGGGAAATCTCTCTTTATGGCTCATTCCCAAATTTACTCTCTGCACGCTGGACACCAAACCCAGGGACAGCAGATTCACACCTGTTCGAGGTGTAAAGTTCCATCAAACCTCCAGCCATGGCTAAAACTGTTTCTCCTAAATCCTCTCCATCCAAATAAGAAAGAAATTAACATTTAAAACAACCCCCTGCAAAAAGGCAACAAAAATTACCCCTCGGTGTAATTTTAGTAATTTCTTGTCTGACTTGTCTCCCCTCATCCTCTGCACTAGTGGTTTTCATCCTTGAGCTCTTAGAAATTATTTTTAATTATTTTTAAGAACTGTGTGACCTGAAAGAGCAAAACAAGTTGATGCCTTAGTGATGGTACTTGCAGTACCTCTTTACTGGGCTCTTTAATCATAACAGCAATTGTTCTGCTTTGCCACCCCAGCCATGCAGTGCAGGGCACTGGATAGGGAGCGCTGGCAAGAGTTCAGCACAGGGACAAATATTTACCTTCAACTGCAGCTGTAACCCACCAGATGTGCAGCTGCAGTTTGCAGGAATGACAAAGTTCATCATTTTTTACACTAATAGCAGAAAAAAGCTTCTGACACTGGAATGAATGACTTTGATATAAAATATGTAATTTGGGGTGTGCTCCATAAGCGTTTCTTGTCCAGGTTTGTGATTTTAGTGACTCTTTTAATTTTGGCTATTCTCCTATTGCTTATAATCCTCAGCATGCAACATTTCTGACCACGTTTTACTATTGCATCAAATACTTTTCAAAATACAGGATGGATTCTGTAGCATTCCCTTCAATTCTCCTCACTAAGTGTACAGAAAACAACACTGGATCACTCACATGATCCAACGATCAAATGATTTCTTTTTAAAAAAATCACCCTGCTCTAGCTGAGTTCTTGACAGAACCCACCATGTGGAAAGGTCCCTCCCCATTTTTGGCTCTCTGCTGTCACAGTTTATCTTACCAAGGTCAAGTATTATCAGCTGGGCTCCAGCCTGTGCATTTCCAACATCGTTTTCTGCAATGCATTGATAGAATCCTTCATCAGACTTCACCAGCCCCAAAACTTGCAGGTCATGTTCTTTCTGAGGAGCAAAGGGAGAAAACAACACTTAGAAATGGGCTGCAATTGCCTAAACAATGGTGTCAGCACAGCACGTTGCTGTGGCAGGAGAAACTTCTGACAGCAACTGGGAAAAGAGTGTTTGGAGTTCCCAGATCTCAGCTCCCTTGCACTGAATCCTCATGTTCTAGGGGATCAAAAAGCAGCAGAAGCTCTCATTAATAGCTATCATTTTCTAGCATCACATAGCACTGGTAAATCCTAATGCCTCCTCAGCTGTTCTGGTGGTATTTTGGGCCCTGACTGAACCTCACAGCCCCACAACCCAGTTACACCCAACTACACACCCAATTTGTCAGCTATGTCTTAATAATGCCTTTCACTGCACCTAAAATCTCCCTGTAGAAGCACCCCTGTGCCAAACTCACCGTCCACAGCTCAGTTACATTTCTATTTCAGCTCCTGCTTAGAACTGGAATTTTTATGGAGCACAGACTGCAGCACACACAGCCAGGACTCGTGGTGAGCTCGTACCTTGACAGTGCATTTTGCCACTCCTGGAAAGTCCAAGCTATGAAGACATCAGCTCTTACAATACAAGCAAGGTACATTAAAGGGATTCAAGAAACCATTTCTCTTCTGGGCCCCAAACACTAACAGGACAAAAGCAGGGAGGCAGGTTCCATAGAAGAACCCAATTTCCATGACTGTGTGTAGGAGAACTGACAGGCCAACACCTGCAAGATGGACAATGCACTTACCACGATTTTGAAGTAGTCACTGGGGATCACCACGTCCCCGTTTTTGACCCATTTGACGGTTGGCGCTGGTTTCCCGGTCACCTCGCACTCAAACACGATGTCCATGGACTCGTGGGCGTAGATGTTCGCAGGGCGCTTCAGGAACGTGGGGGGAACTTCAGGGTGAAAGGAAGAAAGACAAGAAGATGATGTTACAGCCAGGCAAAGAGAGCTGCCAGTCCCACACACGGTCAGCTCGACACCAAGCATGGACTGCGGCACGAGGGGCAGCAAAGGCAGCAGGAATTTGCAGCTCAGGTTGGACAGACACTGACACAAGCTGGGAGTTCTTCCAGAACCACATCTGGGCCAGGTTGGATGGGGCTTGGAGCAGCCTGGTCCGGTGGAAAGTGTCACTGCCCACGGCAGAGGGCTGGCAATGACGTGATCTCTAAGGTCCCCTCCAACCCAAACCATCCTGGGATGCAGCCAATTGGGAATGACCTCCTGAGTCTACATGGAAGAAGAAATGGAACTGAGGTGTATAAACTGCAAGTTAAACCTCAGGGAGTTCAAGTCAACAGGAAAACAAAAGCTACAATTATATGAAAAAGCACTTTTAAAAACGAATGGACAGGAAACCGAGATGAAACTTTCCCAAGGCAGCGTGGCCTTGTGTTCCTGTGGAGGAATTGAGGTTATCACACAGAGAGTGCTGCACTGAGCCCAGGAGTTCCTTCTCTGGCCTGTGGAAGCCAAAGGAACAGGATGCCCAGGAGCAGCCAGGTGCCTTGGTACCACAGTGATGACATTTTATGGATATACAGCAGGAGAGCTGTGCATTTATAACACAGCAGAGCAGAAGCTCTGAACACAAGTTCTACGAAGAACAGAAGTTCTTCACTTACAAGCACCAAAGTTGTCACTCTGGATCTTGGCTGCCTTTTAAATGTCCTTAAGCCCTCAGAGTGAGATTAATTCAATCAAATATATTTAAAAGCATTTTTTGGGGACACTAGTGCCAAGTGACCAGTGCACAGACACATCACAGTTTCTTCCACAGGAGCTTCCAGCTGCATCCAGGGCCTCTGCACTCATCTGGCTCAGCAGCACCAAGCCCTGCAGGCACTCATTCCTTCAGTATCCTCTTTAGAGAGCACCCACCCGTTTATTTGTGTTTACTACATTCCCAGCACAGGGTGATTCTCTTACTTGTGCTGCGAGCTCGGACTGCTGGAGTTCCAGGAAAGCCCAAAGCAGCCTTTTGCCCTTTAATATTTAGCAAAGAAAGTCAATATGGAAGGGCCACGGGGTTTAGACAAACAATTTACACACTTGGCCTCTCAACAGGGTTTATTTGGTGCTGTGGATAAGGAATCCTAGGTCATGTTTTACTCCCTCCTCTGAAATGATCCCAAAGGTTTGTAGGTGGATTTAATACTTCTAAAAACAGCTGGAAGTGAGCAGCTGTCCCAACCCCCCTCATGTTTTGGGTTATAAATGAATAAAGAGAACATTAATAAATGGAAATACTTCAGAGTAAGAAGGTGGTTTAACTCTCAGGTAAGGGCACAAACCTACACAAAGCTGTACATTCACTGCTCAAACTCTCACACAGGAGCAAAAAGCTGGATGGGGCTGAGCCCAGCCGCCTGTGAATTCAAACATCCCTTTCATACCATGCTCCCAAAAATTTACCAAACACACCATAAATTCCACCTTAAAAAGGTCCAGATACTTCTGTGCTTATGCCCTGATGGCTGCTACCACCATACACAACTCTGACATTTGAAAACTCTCTTCTGATTTTATTTGCCACCAAATTGCTGTAATTTATTCTCTATGGAAATGATTTTCATTCCTCCCTGGTATTTATCCTCAGCACTGTTATTTATTACAAGCTGTGCTACCGCTCCCTCCCTTCCCCTATGCCAGCCTTATTTTGGGTGGCTCAACAAGTGGTGTTTGCTTTGCTCTGCTGTGCCAATTCTTCACAACCCTCAGCCTGAATCCATCTCCGGAGCCTGTGGAGTTTCAATCATTTGCATGCAATTTCAGCCGTGCCTTGAGAAATGGCATCAATACCATGGCAGCAGCACAGCAAATCCCTCACCCAATCCATCGCTCTGCCTCTGCCCTTCCCACATGCATCATCCCCTGCCAGCCTGGGACAATCATTGCCTGCTCATCGTTAGCCCTTTTTAACTAATGACTCATTTTGTTCAGCCTGCCCGATCAATAGTTTATGTTCTCATTTCCCTTCCATCTCTGTCTCCGGCTGTATTCACGCGCACGGATCGATTCCTGCGGTGCTTGCAGAGTTGAAAAAAGGGAATACAAGAATTGGAAAAGTTGTTTTTCCATGAATGTACAACGCTTCCATTTCTAAAACATTCACTGCAGGTGAGTTTTAATTCCTTAGCCACATATTAGTCTTGTCAGAGGAACACAAAGAGACACAAGCCAGTAACAGTCACAGTCAAAAGCACAAAAACTGATGTGAAAAACTCATCACGGAATCCCAGCCGGGTTTGGGCTGGACAGTTCCTTGAAGATCATTTCATCCCACCCCTGCCATGAGCAATGACACCTTCCACTGTCCCAGGCTGCTCCAAGCCCTGTCCAGCTTGGTCCTGGACACCTCCAGGGATGCAGGGCCAGCCCCAGCTGCTCTGGGCACCCTGTGCCAGGGCCTGCCCACCTCACAGGGCAGAAGTGAATGCCCAAGCTGTTCCACAGGAACGTTTTGACTCCGAGTTCTCCACTAATGTTTAACTTGTAACGAAGACATTTGGAAAGAACTCATCTTTGGCAACTGATACTGCTCCAATTTGGGACATCATCCAGAAAAGACGCATTGATTTTGAATCGTAAGAGTTGGGATGTTTTTGACACAGAAATTGAAGTAGATATTCTCCTACCTACTCTCCATTACTTTTGATTTAGGAGATTAAGAATTTGAAACACGCTATTTTTTCAAAGTGACTTTGCTTTTCTGGCTCATGGAGCAAATGCCAAGCTGCTCACAAAGAGATAATAACATGAGGAGCGCTCACTTTATCAATTACTTCCCAGTTAATGAATTAATAAATGCTTTTCAAACACACTCTTCTGGTTTAACTATGTCGGCGTTTAGCGTTAACACAATGCAAGTACAGATGTTTGTGGTAGAGAAGTTCAATTGATAACCAGCAAGCAAACGAGCCAATTACCACAGAAAACCAGATTTGTAAGGGAAGATCGTGTGCTCTGCTCCCAAACACACAATTAAACTTCAAAGAGGACTTGGCAGTTCAGCCCCCTCTTCATGTCAGCACAGAACAACTCCTGAAAAGGCAAAATGCCTGAACAGAATTTCATGCCTCCCAGGGAGCCCTGCCACCCTTCTGGAGACTGAAGAAAATATTTTCATTACGACAGTGATCAAAAGATTAAGAAAAAAACCCAATCCAACCTACATCAGCAGTCGATTCAAACCTCTAAGCTACATCCCAATAAAGGGGAAATACTTGAAAAATAAGATGCTTTTTTAAGCCAATAGCTCTAAAAGGATGGGAAGAGCTGAGGAATATGCAGCAGGAATTGCAGCCAAGGTGATGTGGAAACAGGAAGGGATGCTGGACATGGATCCCATTCCTCAAGTACCGGTGATCAGAAGGAAATGGAAATGAATTCCAGTGGTCTGGAGCTCTGCTGTACAGGAAGAGCACAGCAATGGTCTCCTTTGAACAGAAGCACACACAGGTTGTAAAGATCATTTAAAAAGATGGATTCTCTTTCTAAAAAGCACCAATAAATCAGCTGTTGGTCCAAGCACAGCATCCGACAAACCCAAAGTGAGCGGTACCGACCAGCGGCTGCCAACACTCTCGAGTCACAGAATCCATGACTGGTTTGGGTTGGAAGGGACCTCAAAGCCCATCCAGTGCCACCCCTGCCATGGGCAGGGACATCTCCCACTGGACCACAGTTCTCCAAGCCCCAGTGTTCAACCTGGGACAGGAACACTTCCAGGACTATTCCTGAAGCAGCACTGGAACTTCAGTAACAGCCTAGGGCAGCCACAGGGCTCAATTTCCAAACTGGGAAAGTCCAGGATGACACTGAAGTACCATTTCTGCTTCCTCAGCCACCTCCATGTGCCCTCCATCCCCAGAAATTAGGAGAGTGTTTTCCAAGGTCAGCCAATGAAATCCCAGCACCTGCCACTCCTCCTCCTCCTCCTCCTCCCACACTTCTGTCCCTGACCAGGCAGACATGGAATGTATCTCCAGCCATCCCTCACAAAAGCATTTGCTCATTCCAGAAGCTTCCCCACAGCCCAAAGAGCACAAATCCAAGTTAAGCAGAGTGGCCACGTTTTCACAGCGTATCTCAAATAATCCTGACTCCAGCATTCCCGGCCAGTTCCAGTTCTAACCCATTTCTCAGGGATGCTGGATCACTTGTATTTCAGTTACAAACCTGGATTACTGGGAGTATTTAAAATGGACATTCTGCCAGAAAGCCCAATTTCATATCAGCCTGAAATGGTCCAGAGGGATTTTATTTCCTCCTCGAGGGATAACAACCTATTCCATTAGGATATGCTCCAAATCCTATTAGAATCATTATAAAGTTAAATGCAATTTTCACAACTGAATTTTGTTTCTAAGAAGGATCAAACTGCAACATGACCATCACCCAGTTAATCCAACCCCTCCTGTCCCTCCCCAAAAACACAGAAAAAATGCTTGAATTGATGTTTGACAGCAGAATTTTTTTATTATCTTTTAATTCCATTAGTTAGTTGTACAAATTAGTTGGTTTTCTTCAAATGAATCTAGCAAAAAAAAAAAAAAAAAATTAAATTACACTTTAAATTCAAATGGGGAGTTATAACACTCTTCCTTGAAAAACACCAGAAGTATATGGATAATAGTTGGGGGAAAAAAGAGATTTAAACCCCAAAACTATGTTGTAGGCAAGACAAATTCTTCCCAATCCCTGAGCACGGCTGTTATATCCTTAAAACACACTTAATATGCAGCTATAAAATCTGCAAAGCAAACACAAGCTGACAAAAAGGGTTCCTCTAGAGAAATACAGAAAAGTGTCAAATTAATGTACAAAAATCAGCATACCAAGACACCAAAAGGTTATAAAAATGTAAACTACTTCAGGGGTTTTTTTGCAG